GTATTTGTTCCTCCTGTTGTGTTGTTTTGGGTTTTTTTGGGGTGATGTGTGGTCTTTTTGTTTAGTTTGTTTTCTGTAGTTGTTGGTTTTCTTAGTTTTTTGGGGGGGTTTTTGTTTTGTGTGGGGTTTTTTTTTACAGACTTGTTTTTAGCACTTGCGCCTTGGACAAATTAGTCATCTTTTCCCTTAAAAAAGAAGTTCTACTACAGTTTGACTTCCGACAAGTTTATTTTTGTGCCTTCTCAGTCCATTTATTCCATCTGTCTTCACCTCACCTCACTTCTGACGTCTTCTGTTATCTGGGCATTCTTCCAAACATACTAACTGGCAGCTACAAAAAAAGGAAACCTTTGAAATGCAGAACTAAAGAAGTCATTCAGGCTGCAAACTGATAATTCATACACTTTATATCCTGTTCTGTATTTTTCTTTGTGTTGGACTGAAAGGCCAAGCAAAACATGGTTGTCAGTTTTATTATTTTACTGTTTTCCTGCTATTATTTTTTATTGGGATTGCCTTTCCTTATAAAGAAAAAACTAAAAAACAAAACAAAAGAAAAAAGCAACCCCATGACACTCGGAACAGAGAGCAGATTCTGAGGATATCCTTACCTTTCTACATACCTAGCACTTGGATAGAAAGAGGGGGAAAAAAGAGGTAATGCTAAGAAGCTGCTCAGCTTTGCTCTGAAATTTGTACCTCTGATAGCCATTCCTGAAGCAGTAACTTATGCAGAGGACATAAGTTCAGAGTGCCCAGCTCTGCCACCTGCTTTAGCACATTGTATTCAAAGGAGCTTGAACCTGGCTCCCAGTTCAAATCCATGGTAAGATCTTGGGTTTGGTGTGTAAAGTGTTAGTGAGTCATTTGTCAACTACATAAGGATTTTCCTATCTATTTTTGGTCCCCTGAAGCTACTCTATTGAGCTACTAAAGGCACTATTAACTAAACAAGGCCTAAGACTCAGCTTGTAGCTGCACAATATAAAGCATCCCTAATTGGAAGTTTAGTTTTGGAATCATTTGCCAGCAGAGACAAGAGTGAAATGTTTAATCAAGAGGTCAACCTGCAGAATAGCAAGATGCTCCTTATGCACCCTAAACCCTTGCTAATTGATGAATTCTCTCAGCCCTTCATATCCTTTGGTTTCAAGTTCAAGTTTTGCTGGTTTATTTCTTGCACAAAGGAGAGAAGTGCTTCATTCGTAATAAGGTTTATTGACAGGATTGGGCTCAAGGTGCGCTCCTGTTGGAATGTAGATTATTGGGATTAGCCTGAGCTCTTTTTCCCTGTTACCTCTCCTCATGTTTGTCCTGCCTCGGCATCTTCTCTGTGGGTGTGCTTGCCAATATGAGCTTAGTTTTTTTCCTTTCCATTTGGCACAAGGTTCCTTTGCCTTTTTCTCAAACAGCTTCAGTCCCTAACTTACTCTTCTCCAGCCTGTTACCTGCTACTATTATCCAGTTGTAAACATTGCAAAACTTAATCATAGTAAAAAAAATTTGTGCTTATGTGCGTGCTTTTTCTCCTCCTCTGGGTATTTCCAATATATTTGAAGTGAAGACTGGGAGACTGAAAATTATTGGTAGACAATACAAAAGAATTTGACAAAAAGAAAACATCTTTCCTTTATTCAGTTGGCAGCTTGTGATCTCTCAGAACAAAGTTTATTGCTAATTTATTGATAATAGAAGAAACTGTGGAGTTCTAAGACACATTAAAAGGTAAAAATTGTTAGGTCCCAGTCCAGTATTAGATAACAATTGTCTGATCACGAACAAAGAAACAGAAGAGCAGAAGCTGGGTATTGAGTGACTGGAAGTCACTTTGTTCTTCAAACAGTTTAGTGTGAAACAGCACTTAAAAACACTCAAAGAAAGCTTTAAAAAACCTCCATCATACTCTTCACTTGCTATTTTTTGAAATTGAGCATAGAATCATAACATGGCAAATATTGATTTATCATTCAGTAATTCTAAAAATTATTTCCATAAATCCTTTGAACCATATTGAGATATCTGAAGTTGTTGTACACAGAACTATAAAGCCAGAGTCAATAATGTCTTTCCCTCTTAGTAGTACTGCTATGGTAATATTTTAGTACTTGAAAAATGTGTTGTACTAATCCACTCTACAGAGCACCATATTTGGGTTAACCTAAAGAGTTCACTCTTCCATAAAAAGAATTTTCAGGAAGATTTTGAGATTTAAGTCCTTTTGGCCCCCATGGAAACAAGAGTATGAGAAGAAATCTGTGTTCCAAACTGCCAGCTTTGTTTCTGCATTTTGAACTAGATTTCACAGACACTTAAATTTTGTTAAAGTTTTTCTTCCTCCTACCTATCTGCATTGGAGTAAGCCCTAAGACACCTCTATCATTAAAGGGTAAAGAAGTTAGTTTCCTCTTTCCAACCTATGGAGTAAACTCCAAATATTTCCATAGATTAGATGAGCTGAAACCCCTGTCTCCTCTAACTACTCTCTGGGTGGTGTTTTCTGAGCATGGAATATTTCAGCATGGTTCAGAGGCCACCACCCCTTTCCTTTGAAACACAAAGGGAAGGAAAGAAACCTAAGTGCAGACTTCTGCTCTTATTTTTTCCAAGTGGAAGAAATAGTGCTTGGAGGAATAACTTAGAGATATACTTCATGAGTGGAGAAAGCGCATCACTTCTTGGTTTTTTCTGTTTCCTTTTGCACACTTAGTTGTGCTCAGCCTTTTGCATTTTTTAGGTCTGTTTGGGGGTTTATATGCAACATATGTTGTATATGGAAAGAACAGGGTCCACCTAAAGGCTACGGGAGTCAGGTGACTAAATTCTGGTGTGAATCCCAATGCTTTGCACTCATGATGTCAATCACAGCCTCAACCTCTAAATTGAAAAATCAGTAGGTGTTTGTGATTATAGCATAAATAACCACATGGTTAGGCAAGATAAGCATATACAATTTTAAATATTAAATCTCAGCTGCACAAAAGGAACTGCTTTTGTGAAATTAGTTGCCTTCCCTCATCCGAGCTTCCACATCAAACTGTTCCCTCTGCCATAAAAACCTTTGCCTCTTGTGCCAATGAATGAGATTAATCTTCTAAAACCTTTAGCATACTACCTGCATCACTTCATAAAAAAATAAATAAATAAACCTACCACATAGTTCCCTGATTTCAAACTTTGCAGATTCACAGTTCACTAAGAAGTCATCTCTCTTTTTCCTTAGAAAGAAGACAACCATGTAGAATAATAGAGTTCTCTGTCTAGCATACAAATCCATCTGGAAATAATTTAGTCTGCAATAATTGTGGGCATTTGATTCAGCATTAAATCCCTGTAGGTAATTCAAATGTAAATTTATTAGGGTGAGTTTATCCCCAAGCCACCATAGGATCCAATGTTTGGAGATTAAACTGGCCCACTACACTAAAGTCAGAGCCTGCATTGTTTCTGTTGCATCAGGATATTATTACATGCTGTAATGTCTGTCGGTATAAGCAGACATTTACTAGTAATAAAGTCAATAGAGACAATACAGACAATCACCTGAATTGCATTTATTTTTCAGACCTTTAAAAACTAGTCATTCTTTGGTTATGAATAGGTTTATATACTGGTATCTAAATCACTCAGACAACACTGGTCTAATTCATTATTCTGTTATGCTGTACTCATATGAGATCGTCTTTTTGGTTAAGTAAAATTCTTTGCATTTCACATTCTGCTTCAGAAAAAAAGCCTTATGTTTCAAGAGGCATTCGGCACATAATGTAAACAATGCCATCTGTCTTTTTCTTTGTAAAATCTTCTTCAAGATAGCCCCGATATGCCTACTGTTTTCAATCACTTAAAAGGCAGTAATCCAATTATATCATCCTCTATGTAGGAACTGCCATTGCTTTCAGTCCACTTCCAATCCTGACACAAGTAAATCACTTTGATAAGATCCTCCTTTTATTTATTTTTTTTCTGAGGAGACTAGCATAAGTAATGATACCAGTGATAGACCAAGGACAAAATGACCATAATGGACTTTCTGTAGGAAAGGAAAACATGTGCCATTGTGATTTATCGTGCTACTTGATAAATATTTTTCCTTGGAATTTCTGCAACAGGCACACTCTCCAAGCAAAGGGCATTAGCAAGTATGAATGGACAAATGGTAAAGTCAGACAAAAACCTTCATTAAACAGCAGATTTAAGCAGCTATTGCTACTTAGATTTCTTAAATAGGAACAAAAGGTCAAAGACATTTTGGAAATGTGCCCGAGTCATATTCATCTTTGGTATAATGCCACCTACTTACATGGAAACGCGCTGGGAATGTGTAAGGTTGGATCTTCCTTACAAACTACTAAGGCTTATCGTGTAGATATGCCCACCTTCTATTTAAAAATGGTTTGGGTAACTTCAGTGCTTTGTGCCACAGTGAGGCAGGGGCCTGGCAGACATATCTAACCTCCCAGAATAGATGTGGCACGAGATCAGTAGTATCTGCAGACTTCCTGCTACGAACTGCCCTCGACTCTGATGATGAGAAAGTGTGGTTAGAACTGAGCTGTCTCTTGTCCCTGATTTCAGAAAAATGGGAGAGCAGCACATGAAGTGGTCATGTGCAATTCAAAAGCTTGTTTGAAAGGAGCACTGGTTTCTCTTTGAATCCAGACCAATCACTCAGCACAAATAACTCCAGAGTTTGCATTTTAAAATTTATGAAGAGTGTTGGTCTTACATTTACTGTCTGAGACCACATCCAGGGAACACAGTAGCAAGTTCACTCTATTTTGCTGAATAAGCAGATAAGAGGTGATCAGCCATATTAAAAAATCACAGGCCAAATTCAGTATTTTCAATGTCATGCTATGAGGTAAGTCTTTTGTTAAGTAATTTGGAGAGTCTGTGTGAGAGAACTATGATCTGGACAGCAAAAAGGTGCTGTATTTAGCCAAATGAATTAGGATGCTGTTTAGGATGATGTTCATTCAGGAAGTTGTTTCCTTTTACAGAGAAAGTGTGGAGAGCCTTATCCAAAAGCATTCCTATGCCCGATCCCCCATTCGAACCTATGGAGGAGAAGATGATCTTGGAGATGAGAGCCAGGCAACACAAAGCAGAGGTAGGAAAATGTGCTCAACAGGTAAACTGTGGTGACTGAGTTATGCTTGAGAAAAGCAGGGCCACAATCAGTACTGTGGTACTCTAAAGCATTTCTCTGATGTGTCTCTCTGCCATGAAGTCCTATAATGAAGAAGAACATTTATTACTTTATGGTTCTTTGGGACACCTGATGTGCCCATGGCACTGGTGAAGTGGTTCAGTTCAGGAGGCAGCTCTAGGATTGCTCATATAGTCTTTACCATCAGAAGAGAATCAGCTCTACTTCCTCTTCAAGATGTCTGAAAACCAGGCAACTTCATTACCATGATGCTGAGAACAAGATAACACTGCCCATCTCTTAGCAGGACTTACTAGCTGGGCCCTGCACCATTTGTAAAGTACCCTATAGATGTGCCACTTGCTGTCCCTCCAGCGTTCTATGAAGAGAGGACTTAGTTCTGACTATCTTCAACCAGCCTGTAGTTACCTGCTTTGCCTCCACAGGAAGAAAAGTCTGTAGCTCCCCAGAAAATTGATATTTAATTGTTGTCTCTTTGATATTTAATTGTTGTCTCTTAGTCTCTAAAAGGTGCTTTTCCTGCTGGGGCAATTAGCTCTCAAATGCTTTATCAGTTTGTCTGCTTTAGCAGTAACATAGTAGCAAGACAGATTTGTTCTTTGTGGGAATACTTACTAGACAAATTGCATCTGTCACAATTTGCCACTGGAAATAGATCTCAAATCCATCCTGTGGGATTGCTGACTAGCATAAACTTGTGTTGCATTATACTTTGCATGTTGACTTTTTGACCTGCCTGATATGCCACAGCCACTTGAGGTAAAGCAGTTCTATCTGTCTTCCGACTGGCAGTGCCCTTGTCTTGTCCTCTAACTTCATACAGTGTTGCTAAGATAAGAGCTTTATTTCTGGTCATAAGCTCTTTGGACTTGTGCAGGAAAAACACTTATTTTTAACTATGACTGGCTTTTCAATAAAATGTGATTAGGTGGGCTTGTTCTTACACATCTGTTCTAAGAGCAGGTCCTTAGATTATGGAGTTTCTGGAGCAACTCCTAACCTGGTATGATACCATCATTTCACGTACTTCTGGGGGATTACCTTGCTTCATGTCATCTTGGATCTTAGGCCAGATATTGTTGAAGACTGTTAAATTTTCCCTTGCCAGAAGGGCTCAGAGCAAGGCATCTTCTTTTCAAAAACTAAATTTCTCCCTGGTATGCTGTCCTCCTTTGGGAGTGACAAAATGAACAAAGTAAACCTCAGTATGAGAGCTGGCCTTTAAACCCTTTCTGTTCCGAAAACAATCCCTAGGAAGGTGTCATAGAAGGAAATAATACTTTATTACAATTAATTTTATGTATAATAAAAGGGTACAGTTCTGCATTTGCTCACAATATGGCAAGTGAGTAAGTGAGGAAGATTATGAATTATGGCAATGAACTTTTTTCTAATCTGTGAGCCATATGCTAGCGTGGGACGTGATTGTTCTGGGCAACCAGAGGCATGCACAGAGGGTAAAACATACTGCTCTTGCAGATGAGCAACTGGTACTGCCTTTGGTCTCTCTTTAAGTCTGGTATCCTTAAATAAGGAAAAGTCCTCCAAGATACAAGGAGAGAAGTAATGTTCTTACTGAAAATCCATGGATATTTTCATTTCTTCCAATGCATTTTAAAACAATCTTGCATGCAAAGCTGATGGATGTTCTTCCATACATATGAGAGTTGACAGCCAAATACATGCATGTTGCTGGGTGGCATGTGTCATAAGCTCTCTGAGGCCTCAATTGCCTCAGAATTACTAGAGCACATTTCCTTGGTGCTGGCAAATATGGTACGTGACATTTTTTGGAGTACTAAGCTGCAATTAGAGACGATTGCAGTTGGAGCAGTAAAGGATGCTTGAGGAGGTTCCTTGTGAGATTCAAAGAATAGGTTGGGTTGGAAGGGACCTTTAAAGGTGATCTAGTACAACCCTCCTGCAATGAGCGGGGACATCTTCAACCAGATCATGTTGCTCAGAGCCTCACCCATCTTGACCTTGCATATTTCCTGGGATGGGACATCCAACCCCTCTCTTGGCCAACTTTGCCAGTGTTTCACCACCCTCATAGTAAAAAATTTTGTCCTTATATCTAGTCTAAATCCAACCACTTTTAGTTTAAAGCCATTACTCCTCGTCACAAAGGTCATGCTAAAAAATTTGTTCCCAACTTTCTTATAGGCCCTCTGTGTACTGAAAGGCTGCAGTTAGGTCTCCCAAAAGCCTTCTCTTCTCAAGGCTGAACAACCCCAAATCTCTAAGCCTTTCCTTACAGGAGAGGTGCTCCAGCCTTCTGATCATCTCACAATCGTTAATGAGAAAGAATCACATACTTTATTCTGCATAGAACAAAGAAATAAATAACAGTGATAGACTTTCTAATTACTTCAGCACCCCTCCAGAGCATTCTCTGCTCAGACGACTTCAGCCATCTAAAGATGGAAGCTGCTAGCCTACAGTAGCACATTCATCACAAGGCGTGTATTTCCAAAGGAATTAACAGATAGGAAAGGTACAAATCCAATTAAAAGCCTTTAATGCACATCTGCATTCACACAGACGATTCCTAGTAGCCACCTGGAACAGAGACAAATGTAAACCTTCTAGGCAAATCCAGATTTGCATTCTGCTTTTCCTGTAGCACAATAATGCTCAGATACCCCCTGATGTATCAAGGGTTTTGCTGCGGTCTGTGAGTAAAGTATTATCTTTAGAGTTTGTCTCTAGATCCTAACTTCCCAGTGGTTAGGATTTGGCTCATTTGTAGGGTCAAGATTTGGTTCAAGTTTGTTTCCACTGTTGAATTCACACAATTTATTTTTTCTGTTACTGGATTGTTTTACTTGTTTCATTAAGCAGGGAAAAAAATTAATTGTAACTATCTGTCTTTCTGATTTGAGAATATATCCCTTAAGAGATTGATGATTTCTTAAAAATAAAAATTTGCATTTTTTCTTTCTATTGTTTTTTAGCTTATAATTTTGGTTTGAGTATGTGTCTGTAATTGGTTAGTATACTTCATTCAAGTAAGTTTACCTTGACAGATAAATGTCTTCATGTTTTTTTCATTTCACAATTTGGATGAACCTGTCTTTTAGAATCAGATTCGTGAAACTATTTTTTTGTCTCTGAATGTTTTGCAATATTGGCTTGAAATTGTATTTTGTCAAACACTCTTGCCAGTAAATTTATTTTCTAAAGTAAGAAAATTGGTCAAGAAAGAAAACACAGAAGGGACATGAGTTGAATTGCTGTTTGAAGAGGACTAAAGAGAGTTTATTTATGGTATTTTATTGTATTCCCCATTTCTAGAAATCGGACATATGATGATGACTAGATGCATAGAGGAACTACAGAAATCAAGGGCAATGCAGTAACCAGATTATTTGAAAATGACCATGTGTAATTATCCAAGCAAATTATTGTTTCCCCCAACATTTTACTGTCAACATTAAGCAAATAATTAGTTTTAATTTTAAGAAACCATTTTTATTTTTCTTTATGATTCTTCAATCTTCAGAAAAAAAATTATTTTAAAGAGTAGGAAGATTTGTGATAATAATTTTTGGAGCTTTTCAGATTAAACAAACCCAAAACAAAATGGCAAACGAAACACTTCCATTTGATCAAAAGCAAATAATTATCTTCCAAACAAGTTTGGCATCTTAATAATTTAGCATTAGTGTTGTTTCTTGAAGCACTGGACACAGTTGGAAATACAACAAAAGTTTTGATATTTACATTTCTAGAATTTTTTGTTCTATATTGTAGAAATAGTCAGGTTGACTGGAAAGATGTAGGTTGACAAATTTTACTGGAGTAAAAAAAAAAAAGGAAAAACTTGTAGTGCAAATTACATTTTTCTGCATTTTTGCCACACTGAAATTTTAGGAAAAAAATAAATAATTCTTATGAGGATCTCACGTAAAAAGCTACAAACATGTCTTCAAAACAAGGACGTAAGACAGTGAGATTCCATGACAGAGTAGATACTTCAGTGTTTAGTGGCAGCATTACAAGGTGCTTCAGTGTTTAATACCAAAAATGTCTGATGTCCAAAGCTGATTTTACTGTTCAAGCCACTGCAAACAGCTTCTTAAAATGGAAATTCATCTAAGATGTAGTGATAAAGGACAGCAACCAGCAAATAATAATATAAAGAGAGGAGTATTTGGGAACTATTTCCAGTGACAACTGGTCATTGAAATCAGCCTTGCTCACCCCTCTCACACAGGATTTTCTCCCATTTTGCTGTTTTACCACTTCTGTGTGTTGCAGTGCCAATGTCAGGCATTCTTTCTCTCTACTTGCAGGGTCAGCCTTTACAACATCTGATAACCTGTCCCTCAGCTCCTGGGTTTCCTCTTCAACCAGTTTTCCAGGATTTCAGCATCCACAGTCTTTGAGTGCCCTGGGTACCAGCACTGCATCCATAGCTACACCCATTCCTCATCCGATCCAAGGATCTCTGCCTCCCTACAGCCGCCTGGGAATGCCTCTTACACCCTCTGCTATAGCCAGCTCCATGCAAGGTAGTGGTCCCACTTTCCCATCCTTCCACATGCCTAGGTACCACCATTATTTTCAGCAGGGTCCTTATGCAGCTATCCAAGGACTGCGTCACTCTTCCGCAGTGATGACACCATTTGTATGAGTGACAAGAGAAACACAACATTTTAAATGTGCAAGTTTGGTATGAAGAATACAAGGGACCTTTCTGAAAGGCCTGTGGCAGGCGTGCTGAACTTGTAACAAACCAGCTAAGAAAAAGCTTTATGGATATAGATTCCTCTTTCGAGGGATCACAAGAAGCGAGCATGCAGCTTGGAGCTGCTCACAGATCTATGTGTAACACAGCCAAAATGGATCCCAAAGTCCCCAGGATTTTTGGTCACGTGCAGCTTTGTTCCAAAGGTGCATTATACCTAGCAGAAAAAGATTATGTTTATGCAGCAGTGTACAAACTAATTGTCTATAGGTCTTTTTTCATATGCTAGATGGATTGTGAAAAAGGCAATACTCTCACTCATCTTCATCTTTTCTTGTGGCTGATGAGCATCTAAACAGAAAAATGTATTACTATAACTTTGAGCATGTTTTAGGCTATCTCAGCATACATTTGTGAAAACACAACAAAGTGGAGAAGACCACTGTCCTTTTTAAGACTGGCTTATATTCATGAAAACCAGTATTTCTTAGTTGCTACTATAATCACAAAGAGAAAATTATTGACAAGTATTTCTTTCTATCTTTGTTTCTTTCACAAAACACTTACCAGTTCAAAAAAGAAAAAAAAAAAAAGAACTGTGTTACTGGACTGTAGTAGTAAAAATTTATTTTCTCCTTCAGTCTAAAAATAAGTTTGTCCTATATCCTAGGAGAGCAATTTAACTGTCTGTTAAGGTATAATGAAGGAAAATTTTGATTTAGAAAAATCTGTTACTTAAACTTAGAAACCCAAGATATCAAATTTTGAAACAGTGCTTGTTTGCTGCTGTGCTTGCCACTGAAGACCTGTTTCTAGCTGCATGTGTGTACCAGTTAACCAAATTTCAGGCTAGATCAGTCTATAGACTCTCCGGATCAAACTATATCTAGTGGACTAGTACGAGTGGAGTATCTTTCTACTTGTACTAATTTTCTTGGGTTTGGTCATGGCTGTTACTATAGAAGCTCTTTGGCCAGGAACATGAGGGTTGTACTGCCAGTTTTAACGTCCCACTATAATGGTGGAGTTTCATTAGGAAAATATCAGTGCAGAACTTCACACAAAATTCTTTTAAAATTCATATCTGACGTTTTTCAGTTAGTAAGTCGGGTTCTCATTCAAAGTACTGTCCATGTTTTCTAGTATGTTTTGTCTGATGCAACAGAGGAACTGTAGAGGTATAAGAAAATAGTGACCTGTCTGCAGAGAGCTAACATGAATCCTTTGCACGGCTGAAAAGAGTACCAGTGTGATGTTGGTTTTCTGTGTGGCAGGAGCTGGGATTTCACTGTAAATAATAAGTCAACACAGAGTTTCTGTGAAGAGTTGCATCCAAGTTAGAGATGATAACACATTACTGACAAAAAAGAACTAGCAATCCAATCTCATATATTACAAATCTGTGTAGAGCTGGAACACAAAATAGAAAACAGACTTGTCCACTTCTGCCCAATCTGTGTTGGTATCATATAGAAAAAAGCAGAGTACAGTACACTGAGCCACCTACCTCCCATCTCTGTGAAGTGCAAGGCATGTTACGTGCCTTTATTTGTCCCATTGCCTTGTTTTACGTGCCCCATCACACAGAGCAATAACAACCTTACAGGCTTTTCCCAGCTTCTACTGTAGGACAGTACTTGCATCCCACAGATAAGGGCCATCTTTATAAATCTTCTAGTAGTTGAATTTAAAATCTTCTCAAATTGGCCACTTCAATCACCTTTTCAATCAAGTTATCTGCTGTATTATCCTAATTCCCCTTTAATCACTGTTGGACCTGCTGATAAAAAATGACCTGGGGCAATTTGCAACTCCTGTGCTTTGTATGTGAATGAAAATCAAAATTTATTTACAATTTCTAGGTTCAGAGCTGCTACGAGGATTTTGATAAATGAATATAATAGGCCAAGCTCTGCAATATTTAAATGGCTTAAAATCAGACACTGAATTTGTCTTGAGGTATGCAAATATGAGATTTTGAAAAAGTGCATGTAGCAAGGTTGTATCTAGTTATGACCAATTTTGATATAAACCCCCTATTTTTCAGGAAATTAGATGATACTGGCCCCACAACAATGTAACTCTTCGAGTACATATGACTCTACAGACATGAGAATTACAGGGGAAATTTGGAAAAAAGTTTCATTCCCTCATTTCAGTTGCTTGACTTCTGTTAGAGTTGCATGAAGACCTCAGGATGCCATGCACTAAGGCCTGTGGGGAAATTAGGTTTCTTTTATCTGGTTCCTTCTGCAGCTTCATTAACTTATCTAGAGTTGCAGAGGATATGGTTAGGTTCAGAACTCAAGCCAGTAGTTTTACTGCTGATACTTCCATCAAGAAAGGGTCAAGTGAGTAGGCAGCCTTTATATGACTCTAGAAACAAGTTTAAACAGGTTGACTGATTTAGGCATGGTTAAGATATGACATAAAGGCTGCTCATATACTGACCCATCCTTCTTTCATGAAGCAAATTTGGAGACATAAACTGTACAGTCTCTTCAGCCCTGTCCCAGTCCCTGCTCTGAAAACACCAATATTTGGCATGCACAAATGTCCCTGATACTGTTTCAGAGAAAATTCTCCAGACTATTTCTGGAGAATGAAACTAGATTTTGACAACTTCATTCACAAAAATATTAAATGAAAGACAAGTGCTTTTCACTAGCAATAAAGTGTGACTCATATCTGAAAAAACATGGCAGTAGGCTGTCTCTATATGAAACATGATAAAGCCAATTCCTCATCCAAATCTCAGTGATGAATTTCATATTATAGATGATGCAGAACTATCTGTCAAAATCCACAACTTGATTTTTCCAGTCGGATCAAGTCTCTCTCAGTGTGCTCCTCCCTCCTCATGCTGCTTTCTGGCATATGCTGCTCTCCGATGGTTTAATTCCTCTGCATCAGAAACCTACTGGGTTCCCCACTAAAGCAGAATCACAAGGAGATCCCAAGCAAGTAAACAAAGGTAGCTTGTGACAGCCTTCCCCAGGAATGAGATCGATAGGTATGTCCAGTCCTCATTTCCTCTTCTTTGACTTCACAATCCTACCTACAAAACCTGTTGCATAGATTTGAGGTTTAAGGAATTAAGTTCACAGAGACCACAGGACATCCAGTGAAGAGTTTTGCCGCCTAGCAATGTTTCTGCTCCCCATCCCTCTCACCCTTCTGTAGGCAGGGGACAGCATGGGAGTGATTCCAGGAATAAGATTCCCGCCCAACTGAAGTCAAAGGGAAATTTATTGACTGAAAGGGGGGTAGGCTTTCATTCTATATTGTCATATAAAAATAATAAAGTCTAACAGTAAGAACAATGACTTTAGTGACAGCAACAATCTAGAAACTTTACAGAAAAGACTAAACCCCAAGTGCAAATCAGCTTTAGCACTGAACTCACAATTGGAAGAAAATGAATGTAAAGTCACAATTAATTGGTTAAAGAGTGAAATCACTCTTTAAAATTAAAAAAAAAAATTAATTATCTCTACTGCTTTGACAATAACACAGTAATTTATTTGAGGAGTTGCAGTACAGCTGTCAAAATTATATCACTTTCAGGACAGAACATCTGTTGTTGGTAGATGGGCTAGGAACGCCAAATATAACCTAGAGTTTATTTTCCAAATACAACTCACATTTTATATCCCATGAGAAGTGCTCTTCACCTTTACGAGCTTTCTTGGCTCAGTAAAATGGAGCTGGTTTATATTGTTGGGGTTTTTTTAGGTTTGTTTGTCTATTTTTTAAGAAGAGCGGAGAGAACATGCCTAAATATGCTTTTAAAAGAGAATGATAAGATTATCCTCAGAAGTTTTGCAAGTATGTTTCTGGGGTTTTTTGAATTACCATATTACCCGTAGATAGTCAACACCCTCCAGTCTTTAATCCAACAAAAGCATTTTATGCACTAACAAAACTGGCTTGGATGTATTTATCTGCATTTTTTCTCTTCTACTTTTGGAGCCCCGAGGATCTAAACATAAAAAAAATATATTTTTAATCTGGCTCTTTGGTTTGCAGCATTGCTTTATATGGCCTGAGGCACCGTCAAAGACAGAAAATCAGTGCCACTGGGTTTCAGTCATGCTCTTCTAGGTATAAACTGAAAAACAAATATATACCAAGTAGATAAAGGTAGAGTTTCTAATGGGAATACCTCTTCATGAGTTTGAAGATGGTAAGTTGTATGATAGCTAAAATACTTGGTAATACAATCTTCAAAACACAATTGCAAATTTTCTCCTAGAAGGCTTTATTAATGAAGGCTGTGAGACTGCATGAACATGTACTCATAGGAAAATGTTGTCATTTCCAACATCCAGCAAACACTAACCAGCACTTGAAAATGAACCTTTTTTATAAAAAGCATTTGGACTGGCAACTTGATTATGCAATACGTCCTTTTTATGTGTGTGTACTATACAGAAACAGAAATATCAATGAAAATTATTGCAAAAACTTGGGGAGATTTCCAAAACTGTAGGTTATTATAAATTTAAATTATGGTAATTCACTCCTCGATAAGGAGTGAAAGCAACTGTGAGATCAGTGTAACACTTACAGTCTCTTATCTTGAGGGAGTTGTGGCCACAGTGCTTTTACTCATCATTTGCAGGGGGATGACATTCACTCACTGCAAGATTAATTTTCATTTTAGTGATATTTTATTCTTGCTATTCCTTACAGAGCATTTTCTGCTTCAGGAGATGTGGTTTCTTTACTAACCACATATTTGCTGGCCAGAGAATTTATGTATTACTCTGTAATCAACTGTCCTTGCATATAGTCTCTAGATTATCAAATGACAACTTCTTTTTCTTTATTTTATCTTTTTAAAAGAAAACTAAGTGGTGATTTAAGTAAACTCTGAAGTAACTTTTTATGATAGTTTAAGGACAAAAAATACAGTTTGCTGTATTTTACCTTTAGCACATTTAACAATCTTTTCTTTTTTTTTTTTTTTTTTTTTTTAATTGTACCTTCAGAAACATGAGGAAAGATTTGGTTTAAAAATAAGAAAGGTAAAAAACTGGATGTAACCTCTTT